AAATGATTTTGCCAGGGGGGGTCTGCAAATTTATAAATGGGTGTGAAAAAAAATGAAGACCTAAAAAAAGGTCCTCACTTTTGGAAATCGATTCTATCTAGTGTAAAACCAGTCTCCGAAAAAAGTGAGGACTAAAAAAAAAAAAGGTCCTCACTTCTGAAAATCGATTATATCTAGTGTCAAATTTTCCCAACTCGCTGGGGGGTCCACATTTTGGAATCCTCGAGGGGGGTAAAACCGGAATACACCCCCCCCCCCCTTGCACACGTGTGTTTATAACTATTATTCGTTATTGATACATGCCCTTCGTGTATGTATATATGTTCCATGACTGATATTGCTTTCAAAACACAATATCGATTGATTTGCCAAGTTTAAGCAGGTAGGAGAGCTAGTTCGGGAGTTTTTTTTAAAAAAAAATTCTGTTTGTTGAGGTATCCATCGAGAATCGAGATTATAATGCAACAATATCTTCTTAATTTAAAGTTTTCAAATGAAAATTAAAATTAAAATGAAGAAAAATGCTCTTAAAAATGGAAAATTTCTTAGGTTACAGTATTCGTTTCATGTAAATACATTTCACGTACTTGCAACGTCTTTCATAACCTTGTTATCGATTCGCACCTGCTTTTTTTCGTTCAACTGTGGTAAAATTTGCATATTTAATTATTTCAACTTGATACCATTCTTAATAACCAAAAATAAACAGATGATCAAAAAACTAAATGAAACGGAAAAACGCAAACGAAATGATGAATTCGATCAATTCAAGTGTTTCCAATAATAAAAGTTGAAGAAAACACCGTTTGTTATTGCCAAAAAGGTGTTATTGCCTAATTTTCAAGATACTTTTAAAATGAATAACAATAGTGATTAGTTTGTACTCTTTTTATTTTAAAAATTTCACATTTCCATTGATTTGGTATTAATTCGATACACGTTGTTTCATTTGATCTCCTTTTAACCGAGGCTTCAACAAAGGGGCTCGTTGATCAAAGAATTAATTCCACCAACGATTATTGTTATTAAGGTTGTTATTTAGATGGTTCATAGCTTCATTGAGACCGTTAGAAAAGTTATTCATAAGATTTCCGAAACTAATATAATTGAAATTATACCCAGTATTTGTCCCTAAGTTACTATTGAAATTGAAATTACCGCCCATAAAGTCATCATTCCAATTAGAATTATTTCCTGAATTATCAAAATCAGTTGATTGCACGTTGTTGGAAATAATGTAATTGTTGCCGAAATTCTGTTGACCGCTTCGTTTTGCGACCATTACTTCTCGTTGTCCGTTTATTATTTCCATAGTAACCGAGCAGAAGGTTTGATCTTCAACGCGGTTTTCCCGTTCAGCTTCTTCTTCAATTGCTAGTAACTGAATGAACTTGGTCTTCACGTCACGCTCCAATCTAAGGAATATATCGCATAGTCATATCAAATAAAACGTGTGGTTATTTCAAATTACTTACATAGTGTCTCTTGAAGTTAGTCCAAAGTGATAATCCGACTCGATTCTTTACATATTCAAAAAAAGAAAGAAAACAGATGGAAAAAATCATTTTCTAGTTTTGAAAAAGGAAAAAAAACACGGAGAACAACAATGTTTACCTAAATCCATTAATGTAAACGTCCTCGTTATTCATTTGAACATTCGCCATGCCGTTCAACGACTGCTGTACTATTTGCTGCGTTTCTTTGAAACTGAAGAATCGGAATTTGAAAATATATTCAACTGAATAATGTCATTCAAATGTGGATGTATCATATATGGTTCACTATAAATTACCGTTCTAAGCCGTAACGTTGAATCAAATACAAGCTTTTGATTGCAGATAAGTCCAGATTTGTTATCATATTTCCTTGTTCACATTCCACTGTCACATCATTGATCTGAGCATACAACAAGCCGCGCAACATTGCATTGAATTGAGCCGAACTAAAAATTTAATGGACATAATAAGTAAAATACACTGACATATTCAAATGAATCTATTGACTTACGGCATAGCACTCTTATCACTTGCAATTTGAACTCTGGAATAAATGCAAAACATTTATTAAAAATACATTGAAAAATAAATCAAAGTGTAGGGGATGAAAAAGCTTGATTGTATCTTACTGTGCATCTGAGATGCTTCCGGTCGCTGCGCATTTCTGATACAGTTCATAGGTTGATGGTGTTCGTATTACGATTTCGTTGTTTTTAATCATATATCCATTCGGTATTTCAACGAATTTGTGAACGATTGCCAGTTCATTAACGATCGCATTCGCTGAGATCGATGCAAATTTACCAATATAGACTTTCGGTCCGATTTTGGCATCGGAACCAATCGAAGAAAATTCATCAATAAGACTATCGGTTTGAATTTCGGCTCCGTTTGAAATGGATGCATGTTTATTCACTTTTACTCCGTTCCCGATTCGTACACTGTGCCCCGTATTTGCGAATTCAGAGAGAACACAGCCAGGTCCGATTGTAGTGCCAGTACCAATGTTTACAAAATTTGAAATGGTTACGACATTTGCGATAGTACAGTACTCAGCGATATTAGTATAGTTGCCGACATGAGTGTATTCTCCAATTGAAGAAGACCAACCGATAGATACGAAATCACCAATTTGTGCATTGAATTTTATGATTGCACTCGGGTCAATATTCGTAAAATTGCCTATAACGGCTGTACCATCACATTGTGCCCCCCACTCCACATTCTGAAACGGAAAACTCTGGAAAAACACACAAACAGAATAACCTCTTTACTTCGTTGAGATAAAGTAGACTTGAACATATTCAAAAGTATAGAATGTTTCCTTACCATTATTATTTGATATAAAAAAAACGCATGGAATAAGAACAGTTCTTATGTTGAGCACAGACGATTCAGTACACGAGCACTCGGTTGATTTGGTGACATTCAACGTATTTGGTAAGTAACACTAACTAAACAATGTGTTTTCATATAAAAATAACGTTCCGATGAAAATTGAATGAAATATTTTTGTTTCTTTCCAACAATCTCTAATTTTATGTCGTAAAACACTGAATCCTCGAATTTTTCAACAATCCCGTACAATATTACATTACAGATGAAGAATTTTGAAAAAAAAACAAATGCGTAAATACGAATAGTGTTGCCATTGTCACTCGTACGAAAGACGCGTTTCGGTTTGAATTCGCCGTATTACTGCAGTAATGCGATACAAAGAGTTTTGTTGGTGCACTGTTGACAGCTAGACATGATAGAATCACATTTTTGAGTAGTTGAACATATTGCATATTTTCATTTCATTCGGATTGTAAATTTTGTGCGAATTAAAGACACTGTGTTAATTGAACAGCCTCTTCATTGAACTCTTCTGTGTGTAAATTTTTGAATGCAAAGAGTTTATTGTTTGGGGTTTCTGTTCATCGTTCAACATCACACAGCTTGGAAAAGAAAAAAAGACAGAAAAAATCAATAAGACAATAGCTTTCGAAATCAAACTGAATCAAGAGTATTTAATGATTTTTTGCTTGCGACCAATGATATAAGAGGCCAATTACATAGGGAAATTGTTGGCCTTACACGACCACTGACAATTTCTTCTATACAACAATCATCGCTGTTATAAAAAAAAATTGGTTCTGATACGCATTGGTTATTTGTAAAAAATCTCATCGTCATTTGAAGCTATTCGAAGCAATTTATACGGTCATTTGTGAAATTTCGTTGCTATTCAACGACTTAATTATCCTCATTGCATAACGAAAAAAGAAACCATATGAAAATAGTGAGTATGGAAGGTGACGCCTGTGTAAATAGCTCTCAAAATAGTGAGGAGGCCCAAGACGAGATGAATAACTCCGCAGACGACCATAATAATGATGCTGCCGACAATCATTTGAGACAATTCGACGTTCTTGACGAGGTACAAGGAGATGACAGTGGCTCTGAAAATGGTGATAACGAGCAAAAGGGTAAAAAAAACATGATTTTAGATTGTTTTTTATTTTCATCCAATTACTGAGTAAACACTGTCTAATAGAATTTGACTATTCACAGAACTCGATTCAAGCGATTCTGATGTTGAGGAGATCGACATTGACAATTTGCTGGACGAAGGCCTGCCCGATGATTTGCGCGAAAGCAAGAAAATGCATAATTATGAAGAAAAGTCCAAGCTAGTTCTAGAAGGTATACACAAAACTACGTTCAAGAAGACTCACATCCGATTAATATTTATGCGATATTGTCGATTCAGAAAAGGGTAGAAATCATTTCGAGGTTTTGCCAGAAGGATGGCTTGCAGTGACTCACAATAGTGGGCTTCCCATTTATATGCACAAAGCATCCAGAGTTTGTTCAGTGTCTCGTCCATACTTTCTTGGACCAGGCAGTCTTCGGGTATGTTATTTTCCATTGGTAAAATTATTTTAAATCTTTTTCTTACAATACACTAACGATTCTTCTTCATGATTTATGCTTTTTCCAGAAACATCAAATTCCTGTGAGTGCGATTCCATGTTTAAGCTACAGGCGGGCGCTCGAAGAAGAGAAAAAACTGAAAGAAAGCGTTGAAAATGAAAATTCTGAAGTAACGAATGAAGAACAGGTTCAGAAGACTGCCGAAGAATCAAAGTCCGCATCAGATTGCCCATTTGCTAATGGTGATAATTCGCATGAGAACGATGAAGCGACAACGACACCAAACGAAACGAACAAAGATGATTGTGATGACAAACCTCCGCCAGCCAAAAAGCCACGTGTATTTGGCGCATTCAGCAATGCCAAAATTGAAACGGTTAAAGAAAATCTCAAAGAGCAATCGCTCACCGTTCAACAAATCAATGACTACTGCAAGAATTTGTTTATATTCAAAAATATTCGTGTGATGCGATTTACGTGAGTATTTCGCGTCATTCCAAATTGAAACTTCGAAATTTTATTTTTCTCATTCTTTTCATTTTAATTCACATTGTATTCATTTCAGATCGTGGTCAGCTCGTCGAAAGTTCACAAAGCACAAAAAGAATATAAAGAATTTGCAGCGACCAACTCTTCCCGATGGCACCAAATTGATAACATTTCCAATCATTGCGAATGACGCTGAAAAGGACAGCCGTGCCAAGAAACAGTACATCATGAATCCGAATGGAAAGAGCTACATTTGTATACTGCACGAGTATGTGCAGCATGCACTGAAGAAGCAGCCCACATATGAGTTTAAGGAATTGGAAAATGCAGCCACTCCATACGCTGCAACGGTGTCAATCAATGATTTGAAATATGGCACTGGGTTTGGAACAAGTAAAAAGCAGGCGAAAGCCGAAGCGGCTCGAGAGACGCTAGAGATTTTGATACCTGAAATGCGTGATAAAATTACTGCCGAAAAATCAAATACGAATAACAATGGAATGCAACCGTACAAAGATTTGTCTGTATTTGATGAAATACGAATTGAGGATCCACGTGTGACGGAATTCTGTAATAAAACCACTGAACCGACACCGCATGCCATTCTAACGACTTGTCTTCAACGTAATTTTGGTCTGGGCGATATTAAAATTGATTATCAAGTCAATACCGGGCGACATAAGCTGAACGAGTTCACCATGACTGTGGGAAAACACAAGAAAACGGTGATTTGTCGCAACAAACGTGAAGGCAAACAAATCGCCTCTCAAGCCATTTTACAAGTATGTTTCAGAAAGATTGCCTTGTCATTTTGAATGCCTTTCGAATAATTCTCTTAAAATACATTTGAAATCAAATACTAAAACCCAAATTCCATTACCACAGATACTTCATCCACACATAAAAACCTGGGGATCATTGCTTCGTCTCTATGGTAATCATTCGGTGAAGAGTTTCAAAGAGAAAAAGCAAGAGGAACAAGAAATTACCGTGTTACAGAGCAAAGCTGCCATAAATCAACCAAACTATGCCATTTTGGACAAATTAAAACTAGAAATGACGAAGCTGATGGAACGTCAAGCGGCCGTTCAACCAATCGGAAAATGGGCACCAGCTGAAATAAATTTGCCACTTGCATCTTGTTCCAATTTAAACAACGTAGAATTGTAAACGGAAATACAATTTGAATAGTTCATGTTTATTTTTTATATGATTTTTCGTTTTGTTTCGATCCTTCGTTTCCATTGATTTTGACCGAAATTGTACGAAAAAGAAAATAAAGAGGGAGACAAAGAGGGAGAGAACCTTTCAAATGTCAAAAAATGACGTTGCTTTGTTTTAACACCGCACTCTGTGTGACAAGTGGAACTCAAATGTAGCTCACAAGGCCGAGTGTTAACGGTAATTTATCCATTGCCAAAATTAAAATGTGTGTTGCTGTCAAACACATCAGTTTTTGCGTCGCAGTAAATTGGTAGATATCAAACAGCAAACACCGTTTCTGTTGGTGATTGATTTTGGAGACACATCGAAAATGTTTCGAAGCGAACCATTGATTTGTCTTTATCTTGACAATGTGCCCGACATTCAGAAAGCAATCAACATGGGAAAAAAGACAACATACGATCGAATTGTGCTACGTGTAGCAACTCCACAGTCTGGACAACGTGGTAACGATAAAAATGGAAACAAAATTAAACCATTCACACGATCGGATCTATTGCTGAGCGGTGAAGAATGGCGCAGAAACACCATTCTAAAAGTTGGCGAATTTGGTGATTGTGAATCACGGTGTAAACACGTTCAAAAACAATCGATACGCAATTTGAATGAGGAAATTAATTGGGCCAAGCATTTGGACAGCATTGTGTGTGTCACTATCACGTTGTATAACGACGAGTCGTTCAATATGGCACGACAATTGCTGGAAAAATTCGACCAAGGAGGCTGTGTACTGGCCGAAATGACAATCGTCGACAAATCATTCTTTACGCAAAACTATAGCAAAGACGAAAAAACGATCAAGCAGTCACAGGCCAGCACAATGGTATGGCAACGGTGGAACAAATTCCGTCTGTCCATCGATTTTGATAAATACTTCAAGGTAATTTCGAGTTTGAAAGGAATAGGCACACAGACGGAAAATGGTGTTTCATCTGTCATTGATCATCATCAACAATATACGCGTTTTAAGGCGCATTTCTTTCATTTAGATTCGAAAATTGCGTTGAATGGACATTCAAATTTTCTTAATCTATTTATTGCAAAGATCGCTTTGGAGTTGACTCCGACCATGCCAAACGAGTGTGAATTGCGGCGATGGTTTGCGGAACCAGTTGAATTGATAATCATTCCATCGAACATGTTTGAGCTGTCAAACAACAATAATCAAATCAGCTTGAAGGAATGCTATCGATATGTGTGTCAGGAATTTTGGAATCATACCAGTGCCAGTTTTGCTGTTCGTTGCACGTATGATGATCCTTGGATTGATAACTACCCGAAAATCCTTCGTAGTGCTCTGGCGGTGAATCGTTTCAATGGTGTTAAACATGAGTATGTTCAACTGATGACTGTTCCAGCAATAGATACTGTGTTTATTACTTTATAAAGTTCATGTGTTCTTTCCGTAGATGCAATTATTTCAGTGGATTCGGCTTGAAATTGCCATTGACACCAGATGACCACATCAACAAGTGCGCCAAGTATCATGAAAAGATGCACAATGTTTATGCCAAAGCGATTCGCTTGGCAATTGAAGATCGACTTCAAATAAACGACAAGGTTCTTATTTTAATCAATTCTATGATTGGTGCTGATTTCTACCATTTTTTACATTACTCTGACTAGGTCCGTTTGATGATTTGTGGTGCTAATGGGTGGAAATTGCTTGAACCAGTGATGGCCATCATTGACAATTCGAAAACCGTCGAAGTGTTTGTCTTTGATGAAGATCCCTGTGCACGAATTTCGATAAAGGAAGCCATCGAACATTTGTATGCCGACCGAAGTAAGATGTCCATGGGTATTTCGAATCAAATAGATTTTTCTCTCATAAAATAACGAATTTCTCATGTTCACAGATACAAAAATTACCATTTTGGCTGATGCAAATGCCGAAGAGTATTTCGCTGAGATGGATATTGTTGTTTCGATCACTTCGAGAGCGATTTATGAGAGTCAATGCTTGCAATTCAATTTTAATCGAGTTCACGAATACATTCGACCAGATGCGATTTTCATACCCGGTCAATCAAGCATCTCCATTGTGCCGATAACATGTGCGCTGGCCTATTCTACGCTACATGAGGGTGCATTGAAATTCAATCACAGAAACTCCGCGCATGAATTACAAAGTTATGAAATACGAGCACAAATCGTATGCCCGCTGTATACTCGAAATTTTTATGAGTGTGCCGATGCGCATGAGTTGTTTTCATTCAAATACCAATGTTCGTACAATGATCGAAGTATTCGTGTTACAACTGACAGTCGCACGAAGCGTTCGGAATTCGTTTTAGATCGTGAAGCGGTAGTCACAGGTTTTGCTGGCTATTTTCAAGCCGTAATGTACAAAGACGTAACATTGAACAATCGAACCATGTTCAATAATCACAACATCGGCTGTATCCCAATGGCGTATTTCCCATTGAAATGTCCCCAGACGTTGAGTGCACAGGAAAAACTGAAAACTGCCTTTTGGCTGCATATCAATGCCGATAAACAGGAATGTTGGTATGAATGGCACACCATGGCACCCATTCCAACATCGTTCCAGAATTTAAAAGGCGACTCATATACTCTACGTCATTCGTAAACCATCGCAACATCAATTCAAACATTACACATTTTTGTTTAATTTTTTTTTCTCTATTTTATTCACATTATTTAAGCCTTAATTTAGTGGAATTTCAGAGCTCATTCCGAGTTCGACCATTTACAATTTTCCTATTTATATTAAGAAATCAAATATTTTTTGCCGTACGTCTGAACCTTGCGTTCGAATTGCGGCGATTTGATCGCAGTATTCTGTGTATAAAATGGATTCAGCGAATGTTTCAGATACACTTCGTACACATCGTTGAAGAAGTTCTTTATTCCCTCATCATTTCGATTGTCATGGACAATGATGAATCGAATCTGACTAGCGGTTACAAATGCTGACACAAACCATTGATTGAATTTGTCGATCGACTTCAAATACATGTTATTCGTTTTCCATTTGTGCTGATTTGAAAGAGAAAAGACATTTATGAAAATGTTATATTTCGACAGAGATTATGAAGAAGAAAAGCAAATAAATAGTACCTCATCAACTAAATCGAGTGCGGCATGTGCTATAAATTGATTCAGGTGGCGATGGTCGTCTTTCTATAGGTAATATCAACAAATAGACATGAAAATTTACCCAAGACTCATCGGTCATAAAGAGTTGACACAATTATCAAATTTTACCTTTGGCTCTTTGCTGCTGGTGAATTCAGTTTCGAAAATTGGATTATCGTGTTGGCCAACGATAGCAAAATAATAACTTGTTGCCATGATTTTAGCTAATTTTTTTGATGAGAAATCTTCTTTATTTACGAAAAACACCTATTTCTTGTTTATGTGGTATATTCGTTTGACGTTTCTCTTGTGGCTGCGTGTTTGACATTTCAGTTGACAGTTCGGATGTAAACAGTAGACAACACTCAAACTAAACCGCCAGATGGTTTTGCAATACGCGTTGTATGTTTTGAAATTAAAAAAATTTTGTTTCTGAGAACCGATAGAAGAACAAAGTGACTATAAAAATGGCCAATCGACCACTGGGTAAGTATTTATTCTTTCAATCTTCCAAATAGAGTTGAAATTAGAGCCTCAGATTGGATTTATTGCAGATAAAATCAAATTGGAGAATGATTTGTTCTTGGAAATGCTTGAAGTGTACATCAATTCGATTTTGTATGTGCGCGAAGTGTACCCGGCTGCAATATTCACGCGGCGTCGTGTGTACAGTACAGCTGCGTATATTTCAATTTTTCCACCGTTGAGCCAATATTTGTTGAATATATTGAAAATGGCTCAAGAGCTAAAAGCGGCCAATAAATTGTTCCAGGTCGAATTGATCATTTTCGAAAGGGAAATCGACCTTTTCGGAACACCAGACGATGAAGAAGTCATTGAAAGATACATCTTTCGAGTGGAACAAGACGAAAATGAGGACAAAAAAGAATTAGACATCGATTTGTACATCATACAGTTTGAAGAGGAGCTGCGTCGTGGACTTATTCAACTTGAACAAACGGCCAAGAATTTGAAACGTTTGAACACCGACTGTTGCGGTTTTCGCATTCAACTCGAAACCACCGAATCGTCTTACGTTGATATCGTGAACAAGGAAAATTCAAAATCAGAGGTAATTGATAGTTATTGAAACAGAATGTTCTTATTATTATATTCATTGTCTCGTGTTCATTTTCACCTTGCCTTCTACTTGCTTAACGGTAATGAATATTTGTAATTTTATAGAGTTTTCCCTGGGTTGTGGCACGCGACAAATACAATGAAAATGTTAGCACACCTTGGCAAATGAATCCCGTTCTTCAGGTCAACCCATTCAGTCTGTTGCTGCTAACATCGAAAAAATCATGATTCATGTATATATAAGCGCGTTTTTCTTGTTTCTTAAGAACTTGGATAAATAAAACTTGTCATAACTCTGAAATATAAACAATAAAATTGTTTGTATTCCATTAAGAAAGCAAATGAACGTCGACAGTTGAGCTGTTGAGCATTTACAAAGGCTTCATTTTAACATTGCCATCATATGGAATTTGCATGTCAACCGAATGTTAAATATGCAAATTTCATTTATACAACGAAGTCACTTGCATTTTACTCTTTCAGTCCCATGATGTTACGGTGCGTTAAACACTCTCACGCGCGGAAATGTTGAACAGCACACTTTATATACTGTGTTAACTACAATACAAACTTTTAAATTAATACTTCACCATCGCACACACAAACAAACACACAGTATTCAAATTCAGGCGCCGTAGTTCAAATGAACAACGAGTTGTACACAGTGAACAAACCGACTGTCAAAATACACGACTACATACGCAGCACTTGTATTGCGAACTACCATATCGCATTTACCTTTGTACGAAACAGGACAGAGCAGCACGGAAAGCTAAATACACGAATATCAAGTGGAAAAAAAAACACTTGAAAACTACAACAGCCATAAGACATTCTTCTTTTTACTCGTTATAACAAAACCATTTGTATAAAAAAAAGTTGTGTCGAGCAATGCTTCCATTGTCCATGTTCGCCATTCGTACGAGCAACAGCGTGCTGAAGAAAACCACACAATTTATTGCATTTCAAAATAACCAGCGATTTATTACAACTACAAAAATGGTTCAAATTAAAGTAAGTTTTTCGTTATGTATTTCAATTTGATTACATTTTTGTTGCTAATCTTTTTTGCGTTGAAATATTTACACAATTGAGTCGCAAAATTTTGGATGCGTTTTAACGTAGGCACATTTTTTTTTTTTGGGCAAAAATCCATTTCGTCCAAAATGTGTCCAATTCAATTTTGTGTAGAACTTTTGACATTGAAACATACAATTAAATTACGTAATCTATCATTTTTATACAAGTTTAGAGTTGCTATCGATAAGATAACATATAATTTGACATTTCTAGGTTGGTGACAAGATCCCAAGTGTTGATTTATTTGAAGATTCACCGGCAAACAAAGTAAATATCGCTGATTTGTGTGCCAACAAGAAAGTCGTTTTGTTTGCTGTGCCAGGAGCCTTTACTCCAGGTTGTTCAAAGGTAAGTAAAAATTGGTGTATTGCGTTGCAGAAAAAAGAACGACAATCGCTTTTATTGACATCCAGCTTGTTTGTGCGCATTTACTTGATGTTTTTTTTTTTTCAAGTAAAGAGAAGAAATGTTAAAGTTAACCTAAAAATAAATAGGTTATACTGTATGGAAAGTACATCGATTTTGTTTGTCATGTTTTTTTTTCTTTGTCGGGAATGTACAAGATATTTTTTTTTTCAATTTTTATCAATTATTCAAAGAATTTCCACTTTATTACAGACCCATTTGCCAGGCTATGTTGAAAAGGCCGAATCGATTAAATCGAGCGATATCGATGAAATTGTTTGCGTTTCGGTAAACGATGCATTCGTAATGTCAGCATGGGGAAAAGAGCAAAATACAGGTGAGTTAATTGATTGAAGCATGAATAATTTCTCATGCTAACTCTGTGCTTTTCTTGTTCTTTTTCTCTTTACTTCAATCAGCTGGTAAAGTTCGCATGTTGGCCGATCCAAGTGCAGCATTCACAAAAGCAGTGGATTTGAGTGTTGACCTGCCGCCATTGGGTGGACTTCGTTCGAAACGCTATTCGATGGTTGTAGACAACGGTGTTGTTGCCGAATTGAACGTTGAACCAGATAACACTGGTCTCTCTTGCTCATTGGCTGATCGTCTTAAGCTCAATTGAACACACCGCCAACACAACAATAGCACCAAAAATAACCAAATAAAAAAAACACGAAGCTATGAACTGACCCTATCAGAATGTTGGGATAGTCAACAAAACTATATCAAAACCAATACAATTGGCTTCTTTTCGAAAGTAATTCTCTTCTGGCCTTACCTGTACTCCCATATTTTTTAGTCAGTCTTTTGTATTTGTGTATATCAAATAAACACGCATGCATTTAATTGGAAAACCAACTTGTTTATACATTTACAAAGATCGATAAAATCACAATGGCTGATTGGCACAGATAGCACAGCTGACAGCGTATCGATTCATAATCGAAACACTTCACAATTACTGTTTCGTATTTTTTTCCTGTTAATGGTAAACGGTTTGGAATATCCTCAATAAATTTTTTCGAGAGGTTATGTTTGGTTTGGTTTGGTTTCACATGCCCATTGGATTTACAATTACAATCAAAAGGTAATGAATCATTATTACACTCAGACTTGTAAGTCGATTCTTAATGTGGTTTAGCGATGGATTCAAGGTAAAATCGGCAATGGAAATTCCTAATTGTATAGTATCATACTATGCAACCATTGTGTCACACTTTATCATGCCTCAGTCAACGTTTCTTTCGGTGTATTTCTTAGTTTTGCATAAATAATATATTGCCTACCGTAAATTTAATAATAAAACGCTTTGGAATATTCTCCATGCAGTATTGAGCTAAATAAATAATAATCATGAATTCGAAACAAACAGTATGAAGTAAATAAAATGAAGCGGGCTGATAGCAAAATCGTAATTCCACATGAAAACCGATTACGTGATGGGTAAATCAAATGTTTTCACAGGCTATCTTACTCTAAGCGACTCGCTAGCTGTATTATCAAACAAGGTCAAATCATTGCACTCACATTTTTTCAATTCGATTTCATCATTTTACTTTGATGTGAGTTTACAAACAGATTTTAACTGAATCTATAAAATATACGTTGAAATTATCGTCAAAAGGAAAAGTTTAGAAAAAAAATATCGTCATTATATAATTTTACAACTATCCAGTAGTTGAATTACAATTTAGATTTTCTTTTTGAGTTGACTGAGTTGGGTCAGACAATTGTCACGCCATTCACGTCGCGCTGGCAGTTTGTTTATTGGGCACATTTCCTCCAATTGTTTTGCAATTTCAGCAACAACAGGACCTTCCATTTTTGGAATTTCACCAAACGTTTGGCTGACCTGCATTTGAATGAAAAAAGAGTATGTTTATCAAGAATTCATAAAGAGACTGGACCGTTGAATATCGGTGCTTAGAAACAACATCAAAATAACATTATTAGGCGAAGTTGAAATCATGAAATTCATTCATATCTTACATCATAAATGGATTGGTGGTACCGATCGCAATAGTTCGCCCATCCTTCGGCATTCAAGTGGGCAGTTTCAAGCGGTCCCAAAAATGCGTATCTCATTCCCAAGCCATCGGACATAACTGAATCAATATCACGAACATTCAACACACCGCTGGCAACTAAACGCCAGACTTCGTTTAATATGGCATACCTAGAATGAAAAACATCGTAAATTTTAATTATCTGGAGCTTTAACAACCAATATGGCAAAGTAATCATAATAATGATGTTAAAAATAAGTATGGAAAACCCTTACTGCACTCGATTAACAGCAAAACCTTCAATTTCTCGAGTGAATAGAACGGGTTTTTGGCCAACATCCAGCAACAGTTGCTTGGTTTTGAGTGCGATTTCTGGTTTTGTCCATGGTGCTGGCACAACTTCAATCAGTGGTACATAGTACGGTGGGTTAACAGGATGCGCGATGATCACTTGGCTTTTGCGTTTCATTTCAGCACTTAGCACAGACGGCAAAAACGTCGACGTCGAACTGGCGAGAATGGTTTGATCTTCGAGGATAGCATCCAATTGGGCGTAGATTTTTCGTTTGAGCTCAATATTTTCTGGGACGCATTCTTGAATATAAGCCGCTCCCTTCACCAATTCCTTAATATCGGTGGTGCCAGTGATACATTTGAATTGCTGTTGGGCTGTTAAAGTGCCACGCAATATATTCTCTTTTTCCAACTGCTTCAATTCATTTTCGATACGCTTGAGTGCACCACTAATTTGCTCAGGTACAATATCGTAAATCTGCACTTGGTAGCCAACACTTGCAAATATCATGGCCCATGATCCACCGATCAAACCACTACCGAAAATTCCAATTTTCTCATTTTTTACCGACATTCTGACTAAAAAAATTTTTTTAAAAAAAGACAACACTCAACAAACTTATTCAAATTGCACTTGATGGGTGTGACCCTTTCAACGATACTGTCACGACAATTCTGCTGATTTCCTCGTGAAGTCGCAAAATATATAGCTAACATATGAAGCAAACGCATTCGAAAAGAATAATAATAATCATTCGTATCAGTGCAGGAACTTTGTTTTCTGATTAAATTTAATCGTCGTACTCTTGTAATTGCCTATTTGCAGAGCTGTTATAGGCACTGCAAAAGTGCGGGCACTTGAATCGGTGCGGCACCGAGCTCTTTTTGAAAGTATAATTCTTGAGTATTTTTGAAATTTTTTCAAATTTGCTATTGTTTTAAAGAAATAATATGATTTTATATTGCTGAAAAAAATATTAAATTATAAATTATCGAAATTTATTTTTTGTGATTGTACTAGGTGCGGCACTCAAAATTTAAGTGCCGGCACCGATTGGGTGCCTATAACAGCTCTGCCTATTTGGATCCTACTCGCTTGCAAAGCGGTTAGGAACAGATAATTTCTAGTGTATGGACTATGGAGTAAAAATGTTTTTGTCATTGTTCATTATCAAAATTAAACGGTAAAATATTTATTTCAATCTCTTATCAACGGAAGAGATTCAAATTCTCCCGGCTTGTATACAAAAAACAATCATTACGGCCAAGCAATCTGTTGTCCCTTTTGATATGAATGAATACATGTGTCCTTGTAGTTGTAATTAGTTTTAGGTATGAAAATACTGATACCAGTTTGTTGAATTTTTGTTGTGTCTTGTCTAAAAGTCTTTGTTTACCGCAGAACCGCCTATCAAACAAGTGGTTTTTCTACGTCTTTTGCCCTTATCATCATAAATTCATTCAATAAGAACTTTATTATGTAATAAAAACAGGCGAGCAATAATGAGCCAGTCACCAAATGCTAAAATTTCAGTTTGTGACTGTGTCATTTTGGCTTAATTATTATTGATGCGTTGTGTTGCACAATTGCTACCGTATGAAAGTTAAAAATAGATCTACAACGAGGTGATAACACCACAGAGGGTCTATCATATTTTCATTTTGTGCAAGTAATTGTTTTGATATGTTGTTTGAAAATTTTTGAGATGATTGTTTTGCTTAGCAAAAACTCCACTCCATTTGATTTGATAGGGTTGTCGTTGAGTACGTCGAAAGTGTGGCGGAAGCGACAATATTAAACGTGCTGGATGTTACGAAGCAGCGCAAACATTGAATAGGCCATTCGAACGGACTAATTTTTCAAGAAAAAATGTTCATTTAGAATTAAATTTAGTTTTTGTCAGAACGATGAATTTTACCGATAAAAATTTATTCAACTCAAATAATCCGCCAGCATAAATCCGAATTGGTCTGCTGGTTCCTTGGACGAACATCAAAAGCAACCGTTTGAACTATGGGCTCTGTTCAATCGAATTTGAATGAAAAGCGGCTTCAGTGAGCCTAATACTTTTGTATAACAAAATCGATCGAAGAAACAACGTATAGATTACGTATACGATTTCAATGAACATGCACAGAAAGAAGATAATAATGAATGCAAATGTCGAAAACTCAGACTAAGTAATCTGAAAGAAATATTATCTCAGGTTCATAGAGCTAGAGACAATTTGAGCACGGAGATTTGGAAAGCACAAACGCACAAAATGACGCCACTCACGCTGAATTGAAACAGATATGCCATCGACATGGTGTCTTCTAATAAATCACCGAAACTGAAAGACGAAGAACTTTTATAAGGAATTAAAATTACCTCAGAATATTTTCACATCGTTTACCTTAAACAAGTCTAGAATGTCTTGACACATTTGATCAATTCAGGGATGGCATCGACAGCTCGTGAAGCATTTGAAGATGTTGACGCTGTTCCAGCTGTATCCTTTTGTATTTCTTCTGATCCAAGATTTCTAAGCCTCGATGATAACACATCAATAATCATGATGATGCCATACGTATCCGAGGCGAAAAGAGCAAGGACCAAAACCAAGCCAGCAAATCCTTGAAATACGAAAACTATCCAAAATATTATACGATTTTCACTGATTTCACCCGGAAAAAATGATGTTGATGGCCAGAACATTTGTTCACTACCGTGGAAAATAATTTGAATAGCTAGTGAAATCCAGGCAAATATATAACAGATGGCGAAACCATAAGATTTGTACCCTTTTTTATATTCGAGACAGAGCAAATCAATAATTCAACTGTGTATATTTTAATCACTCTCAAAGATCGATTAAACGCTCAAAGGCGACAAAAACAATTTACAATATTTCAGGCCGGGTAAGCAATTATTATTTGAATGGTAAAGGTCGAAATATTTCTTTTTTTCTTCAAATTGTATGCGATAATTTCAATTTCGTTCTAGAAATTAGTGTCTGATCGCATCTTTAAATGTGTAAAACCAATTCGAATGGTTCCCACGTTTAATAGTTTGCCTACACTCAATTCCAATAAGCTTCTATCACGCCATTGTCTCACTCTTCAAGTTTAATTAGAGAACAAATTTCTTCCAATTGCGTTGTGATTTCAATTACCATATTGCTTTACATTCGATGGTTTTGATATGAACGAGGATTTGGACATGAGCTACGTTACCAATCGATGACACAAAGATTTACTATACTTCTCGCAACGAAACTTTGCCCAAAAGCGTATATTGAATCGAAAATTAACACACGATAAGCTTCAATCATCTCAAATCTCTTGAATTGTCTACAGATTACAAGAAACTATAGTTTCCATTATGATATGCTATAGCTTACATCAATGGACAAAGCAAATACCTTAAACTACACTAAAGAATAATTGAAAATCGCCGCTAAATTTAGGAGAAAAATACGTTTATTGTAATATAATATATTTGTATGTTACACTCAATTCGATTACATTATTGGTGTGAATATTCATAGGTGTTTCAATTTCTGTGAGATTTGAGAGTTGATTTTATCAAAATCCGAATTTAAAACACTATGTAATTTGTATGTGTGTGCAGTTATTGTGTTTTAATGTTTGTTGTATCGAAGTGCATTCAATAAATCATTCTGATAATAAAGTTTGTTCTCTTTGTTTTTGTTTTGGGGGCGGAAATAAACTTTAATAATCAATATTTTGATACATGACATGATACACAAATTTGCACATCTAGACAGGACATTGAGTTTAACTATAACATCGAATTAGTTTGTGTTGAAGACCAAAAAGACAAAATCAAAGATGCTAAATGACGAATAAAAACATCAATAAAATTCTCTGGTTAATAAATGGATAAAAGGGGATGAATTTGCTGGTACCTTTTGTAATATATAAATTTAACTGGTTGGAAATTGATATAGGTATATAAATATATACATAAAAGCATATGCATTTCAATTCTGGTTAATAACTTTATAAATATTTGTGGGTTTGGTTATTCATTTATATAGTGTTTTGTTTGTTTTTTCTTGTAGATGTTGATTCGCAACATGATGAATCTCTTCAAAATGCATGCTGTCCTCACGATAAAACTGGCTTGTGTTTTGCAAATATATATTATCGTCAATTTTGGAATAAATAGTTTACTTAGTATTTTGTTTTTATTTTGTTTTTTTTTTTTTTGGTTTGATAAAAACCAAAATATTTGAAAAAACTTTTGAAGATTTTTTTAAAATTTTGGCTTCATATATATATAAAATAAATATTATGTTTGAAAATTGGAAATGTTGTCTTTTTTACTTTGTTTCTTTTGGAAAAGCGAATTGAATAGAATAGACTGAATAGCTAATTCAAAACGACCAATTACAATTGTTAAAAAAGATGGCAAATTTCTAATTTAAAAACACAAATATATAGATCCTTCATAAATTCCAATTTCATTAGAACTCACCTAACCACCACCTCTGAAATGGGTAAAGGAGGCGCAATCAAAGATAGAATAGTTTTGACATAAATCAATCCCAATGAATTTGGAATTTGTAAGGACAGGGCATGAATAAAAAATTGATAAACAAACTACTAAACATAAATATGGCGAGAAGACGATTAATCAAATATCAAGATGGTTTCAATTATTATACTTAAAATACATTCGAGCTCATCTGTTCTTGTTGATTGATGTCAATCGATTTTTGTGTTTTACGGCTAATTTCAAATAATTTTTTTTTCTTCAAATATATAAACTCAGTGGTTTGTTACTGGTTTATTTTTATGTGTTCTTTTTTTGGTATGGTTAAATTTAAGTTATGAGACACTTTTTGTGTGGCTTCTAAAAGAGGTGAGATTTCAGATGAGAGTTCATTTTCCAATCATTTTTTCCTTTGTCATTGTTTTTCTCTTTCTTTATTGAATAAAGTTTATTTTTATTCGTTTGTTGTTGTCAGTGCATGTCATGATGTTCCGTTGGATTGATTTCTTCTTCTTCTTTCAATTTTGTTGAGAATCACAACGGTATCAGCCGCAACAAAAAGAATAATTTCGAAATAAAAATCAAAAAATGAATGAAAATCAAATGGAAATGTTTTTTTTTGTGGCTGGATTTTTTTTTCTTCTTTTTTTTTTTTTAAATACAAGTAAAGGTTAAATTTCGACAAAAATCTGGATTTCGAATTTTCACATTCACAAAACAAAACCAATAATTGGTGAATGAATAAATAATAAAAGCAATTACTGTTGTGCTTATATCATTTTGAAAATAAACGTGGAAATCCGAGTTGCAAACTCGTCAACGACAAATGTCGAAAAATTAAAAAGAAAAAAAAATGAAAATCGAACATTCAACTTAACGATAGATTTAGAAAAAATGGAAAATACGTTTACAAAAATAGCAAAAAATGAGACAGTATCACAACGGTAAACCGCAAGGGGGTCTCATCACAAATTAGGGAAATTATAAGTAGAATTTATCGTACTCGCAAATCGATGGCTTGTTACACAGTGTGCGGCTGAACAGCTTGTGCTGAGATGCCAAGTACGATTCGGATGTTGAAAGTGGTTCACCGTTGCGTTTGATCACATTCGAATTTCTTTCTTTATTGAATGTGACAAAAAATGGATATTTGTTGTTCAATCCAAAAATGCCATCAACCAAATCCCAATGATGTCAATATTACTTATGGAATGGGTTGATAGTGGCAAACAAATGGCGCGTGTTTCACGTCAAAATGTTTGTATGTTGTTGTTGGGTTGTTGATAAAAAGCCTTCTTTAAAATATATATGATCAACATTGTTCTGGTTGTTTTGATCTCTTCAAACAATAATTTGTCTCTTCGAATGAATCGAATCAAACATATTTTCGTTTTCAATTTCTTTTAAATGAAGAGTTTTATCATCAGGGTTTTTGTTTTTGCTTTTTGTTGTTGTTGTTACCGAAAGTGTTTTATTAGTTTCAAAAGGTGCGCCTTTCACTTCCAATTCAATTTAGGTGTGTTGTTGTTGTTTGAGTGGAATTGAAATCGCAGTGTAATTTGTTTTTTGGGTACATTCAATTACACTACCATCATTCACTGGTTATGTTTATATGCACTGATGAATTTATCATCAATTACTTATTTCATTTGATTACACAGTTATATAAATACTATACAATGCAAGCGTAGAATGTGGACCATGGCTACATACAGGCGAAAATGATGCATCGACCAACGTCTTCCTTCTTCACAATCAAATACACTGACAAACGCAACACATTTGCATGTATTTAGCCATGCTCTAGTATGTGAATCTTTCATTTTATGATTTTTTGTTTACTTCTGGTTAATATTGATTATAATTTTCATATGCTGGTTAATATATATTCATATAATTTATATGTAGAATGAGGAACTTAATGTCTATGTTTACGCCTAATTTAAATAAAACGAAAATGTCGGTGAGAGCAGACATCGTTTAACCTGTTTTTAGATAAGCCAATGGTCATCAACGTAAAGTCCGGGTTAAATTTCATTAAATATCAAATCATTGTCCGTTATGAGATCATCATGGTCAAGTCATCAAAGTTCCAGAGCAGTTTATATCTTGTTTAGAAGTAGTAATGGCCCTTTTTTGCGGCAATTGGTAGTTTTTGGCCCGTCAAAAATGGATTCTCTTCCTTCGTTCAGCACAAACAATAATGAAAATTGAAATTAATTAAAAAACTCAAACATAATGACAATAAATTGCAATCAAACCCGGTTTTAATTAAACTTACTCAACTCTAACTTTAATAAACTGGGTTTATAAAATTAAATTGAATGAAGAGAATAACTTCTAAGTGGATAAACTTTGCTAAAAAACATATAAAAACTACACGTAGCTCACCTTATAGCCCTGGTATTTTTTAGCCATAAAGTTCTTATCGCCAAACTGTCGTGCCAAGAAACTTTCGAGGTCGGAGTTCATTTGTCGGATGCCTTTGCTTGAATCCTTTGGACCGGGGCAATCGAACATATGTTCACCGTCACACATGCACTCTTGTGCCGCCTGATAATCGCGGCTGAATGCGGCCGTATTTTCGAAGTCATTTATGCATCCTTGTTCTTCAGAGTAACCAACGGGGCATGGATTGGGCGGGTTACAATAGGCTGGCAGAGAAGCATCTGTTTTTGGTTTTAGCTTGAAGTATTGTTGTCCGACTTCGCCCTGACCCCCGGTCACAGCTATATGACCTATATATTCGAATGAATTTGGTATTTTTTCAACTCTCGTTTCATTGGACACAATTTGTTGCGCAAACACACATTCAAAGTGACCAAATGACTTACCAAAAAGTGACGAGTGTTCTAAATATTCCTGGTCACGCATGCTTGGATGGCCAGTGCGTTCACCATTCAATATAGAATCATAGTCCAATTGTTCGGCTTCGAGGTCTTTTGTTGCACGCGCCATCAATGATAATCGTGACGGCATTTCCTTTACGGGCAAATCGGGCATGGGTTCAAGGTACGAGTCGCTAACATCGCTCAAACCCTTTCCCATACGATTCACAATTTCGTGCAACAAAAGATCCGATATATATGGATCCTGAATGGAAACAAATAGCTTTTTTAAATATAATTTTGACACTAAATTGAATCATTTATCGGCATCGTCATCATCGTAGGACCTACCTTCACGGCTTGTGTGGATAGGTATCCATCTGCGCCAAATGTTGAAAAAACGGCACAGACAAACAGGACCACTAACGTGTTAACATATCGCTTGTGCATGTTGCACAAAGCAATTGGTTTACGAACAACTGTTGCGGAAAATGAAAGAATCGTTCGATTTTATTTCGAGAAACTAATTATCGACTGTGTCAGGCCGAGAAAGAAAGGCAATCAATCAACAGTGAATGATAAATACATCAAGCTATATATTATTTATGAAAATGTTAGCGTTTATTTATGCCAACATTATGTAATCGATTTGTGAGGCAGCGTTATTCAATTACGGTTTTACGATTACATTTGTATTAGCCTGAAAAAATAAAGTTGAAAGCTGAAAGTGGTACGAACGCAAAATACAAAGAAAAACATTGGGTAGTTTTTCGGGTTTCACGGCACCTGTTGACAATATGTTGACGTATGTCGTTGTGCAGAACAGGAAAAAAAAAGAAATCTCAACGAATCGAGTGATATATAATTTGAATGTGGAAAGAAGCCACCCTTCATGATTACTATTTGTATACATATATGGTGCGGAATGATACAATGAACGCGCGTCTCTGCATGTATGCTCTAGACTTTCAAGTATTTGATGTATCATGCTTTCCATTCATGATGAACAATCGGCGCTGTAATTTCCATACGACGCAGCCCTTTTGAAATGTCTCACACGAGCCATAGCGAAAAGTAAATTGTACATGTATGACAATAATGGATTCTTTGATTATCCAAACACTGTGTTTACGATAAAAAGTGGTATTTGCATTTGCTAATTCAATAAAATAAATATATACATTTATTTGAATGGAAAATCGATAAAATTGACGTTGGAATTTGACGTCATTCGCTTTAGTATTTTTCTCAAACAGATTTCTCTCTAAACACTGAATTCCGGAACGTTTCCGTCAAATTTATTTACAATATGTTTGAAAAACTAGTCAAAAAATGGCACACTTTAACACTTTTAACCCAAATTCGTGTGTTTTTCCAAGTAATTTCACGCAGCTTATGTATACTAATTTTCACGGGATGGAAATTAATAATTAAACCATTTTTATTGCACTTTCTATCTCGAATCAAACACAAATTGCAAATGAACAAAAACCAAATGCTATGAACGAAATACTTGAATTTGACTTACATTTCTGTTGAGTGTTGATTTTACTTTTCGCCTGCACAAAAAAGGAAATCAAAGGAAAAAAGGAACTGTGTCTCCGCTGTCATGAAGCAACAGCAGAGTTATGAAATTACTCCACATCACCCGATTGACATTCTGCTGTGGTAGATAGCAAAATGTGTGGGATGAAAATTGTGGTGCGCGCGCGTTACATTTACAAGCACCAAAAAAACACAACAACAATGCTTACAATTCTGCATGAATGAATGAACGATGACGTAGACACGATGGATGGATGGTTTGTGTGAATTGCGAGTGGTTTGCATGCTGTGTTTGCTGTACAAATGACGCGCTATTTTCCTTATCTTCTCTCACATATGGACGGCATGCTAGGCAAAATTCGCCGAAAATGTTCTTCTTAATTGAAAACTCGTGCAATGGAAAATTAGGTCATTTTTTCTGGAGAAAATTGGATGATTTATTTGTAAAATAAAAGGAAACTTAAGAACATTTCTCAATAAAATAGCAACAACAACTTTGTGATTGCATCATTGATTGTCTGAATATATTTTTTTTTTCAAGTGGAACATATGATGATTCAAACTGTATTGCAAAAATAATCCAAGCCAATCAATCAATCAATTACTTTGCTACTTAAGCCATTCAAATACGTCGATAATGGATTTGATTCATAAGAAAATCAAAAAAAAATCCGATCGATAGCGCAATATGTAGGTGGTTTTAATCGGCTGCTGTGGTGCCGTTCTTCTTGTATGTGCTGGCAATGTTCTTAATTTTTTCCATTTTCTTTTGCAGTTCTTCGGAAATGAGCTTGGTGTCGTCCGATTCTGACAATAGTTTCAATACCAAATCATGGAATTCCGTCAATGCCGAGCTCTGTTCAGGAGACAATGACGGTTGAAGGAAACTCAATATCGATGAAACAAATTTTCCAGAAGCGTGCAGCATACATTGCGTCGAAATGGTGAAGATAACAAGCACGGCCAAATGAAGACTGAGCGCTGGGTCATTACATTTTGATAATTGCTCTAAAAGCGCGTGTTTGTGACACAATATCAAATTTCTGCGAATGAAATAAAGAAAAGCACACCATTCAGAAACGTACTATATAAAATGAATAGAAAAAATTTCCCATTACGTACCTGTCTTTCTTCTTATCAATTTTTTTCAATATCATGCCACATGCCTCAAGGGCGTTTTCTGCTGCTTCCAAGAACTCTTCGATTGATGTACCGGCAATGGCTTTATTCAGTGCCGTCAACGCTGCTTTGTATTCTTGACCTGTAGTTCAAAGAAAAAAAAACTCTGTGATTTATTTCTAAGAAATGTTTTTTGTTTGATAAACAGAAGTGGAAAATATTTACCACAGTCCTGTGCAATTTTCGCTCGTTGCTCGGGCTTTAAGTTGACGTCGACAAAGTTGAGGTTGCATTCGCCAGCAACATAGAAAAAGATATCGTTGCAAACATCAGTGCCGTGAGTTTTGAGCAAGTATTTCACAAGTTGACCTTGCAAATCGGCCGATAACAAATGCAGCCCTTTTTCATACAAACGAACATTAACCAATAGCTCGTTCAATTTTGTTTGCAAAGCAGCGTGAGTTTGACGTTGATTTTGGGTGGTGTTTTGCAATGAAATCTCGTAGAGTTGATGGGCAATTTCGAGCGATAATTTTGTTAGTGATGGATAGTATTGTTTTGCTATGAGTTCGCTTAAATCATCCAAACCTTCGGGTTCGAGTTGCTCGTCCAGAATGTGCTTAATTTCTTTCAGCGAAATCAATTCGATGGTTGGTCCCTCTTTCTTTTTGCTATTAAATGTTTCTTCTTCGGAATCCGACTGATGTCCACGATCGCTGGCCCGATACAATTTCTTTGTAGACTTGGTTTTTGTTTCACGTCCTTGAGCACCGCCGCCACTTTTGCCTCCAGTTGCCTTGCGACGTCTTTCATCCTTCCGATCTGATTTGCGATCCGATGTGTCGATATCAGCATTTCGACCGGAGCTCATTTGCTTTTCAGCGATGTATTGTTGATATTTGCCCGTTTCAACCGATTGTTTGGCATTTTTCTCAATCAATTCATGGCATGGTTTCAGCAAACCATCAATGAACTGCGTAGTTAAAATGGTTGTACCGAATAATAGTGTTTGCTTCTGTTTGATTGGTGTGAGTACGGCATCAATGACACCTTCAATATCCTCTTCGGACATAATCGATGGTAAAATCGAACCCACATCCAAATATGACCCAGTTGAAATGCATTCATCCAGCGATGATTCAATTTGATCGAGAATCCGTTGTCCCAAGCAACATTTTGATAAGAATGTTATCGGTTCATTGCCAACGGTTCGTTTTATGAAACCCTTGGCATCGGACACTCCCAATCGATTAACTGCATCATATTCCAAGTAGAAGTTTTGTTTATAGAATGATTCGACCCACTCACGCTGGTTTTTCGTATACACGTGCGGAATATACTGAGCACCATGTTGTTTTGATGTAAGCACACCAGCCGGATTCACTTCATTGAATAAGGTAAAGAAAATACGTTCTTGCACACCAATTTGCTGAATGATTTGGGCGGTCGATGTTGGATGGGTTAGAGCAAGCAAACCGCCACGGATTTTGGCTTTGCACCGTGAAATGTAGGTCGGAGTAAAGAAAATGCGAGAATCAGTCGAATCTTGTCGTCCTTTAATCAGTTTGCCCAAGTATTTTTCCATCACTTGAGCCAACAAAAACTCCGATGGCAAATCGAATTGAATGGTCAAGTCGGAGACGGAAATTTCACCTTCTACAATAAAATGAATCTTTTTAGTTCGAGAACAAGAAATTATTTAATAAATTTTAGATGACCTTGCGCTAATTTTTCATTGATCTCAATGGCGATCCTTTGCAGGTATGTTTCATCGATAAGTTGGCCCAAGATTAAGTACAAATCATCACGCTCTTTTGAGATTCGCTCAGCGATCGTATTGATGTGAAACAGGTCAACATTTAATATTTGTGCCAATTCAACCAAATTAACACGGCCACCGTGCACATAAAGCTCATCTTCCACCTCCTTTTGCAGGTGCTCCGGCGTGATGTATTCCTTGCCATCGGTCGTATATACCACATTGATAAGGCCTTGTTTGATCAACAATGAAACGACTTCAACACAATTTCGTTCCGAAAGTCTATCGATAAGACGAAAAAAATGGATTCGTTCGTTAGTTTTTCTTCTGTTTTCCCTTTGAATTATTCCTACCTTTGCAATGTTGAAGACAATTGCACCTTCTGAAAATCGGAGGCCAATCTTCGAATTTCATCCCAGTCTGAAGACATTTTTTTTCTTCTTTTCAATAATAATTTTATGCACTCCAATCTATTCGGAATTAATTTGTCGTGGCAAATTCCGTCAGTTTCACTGCAGTCGATGTCAAAGAAAGTATTTGACATTTGACAACTTTTTGCTATTATAACGAAACGTCATCACAATTCAACATTCCGATTGAAGTATTGCCGCGCAAACTAGAGCCAACTTCATGGTTGATTTTATGTATTTCAAACGAATCTATTGTTAATGTATTTTGTTTATGTGAAAACGATATTTTATTGTGTAAAAATTGTCTAGTATTTTGGAATAGAATCAATTGAAATTGGATTATTCGATGTAAAAAATAAAGCGAGAGAAATGGCGGCAAATGAAATATCGCTATTCAATTCGAGCGTATCGACTGTGGATGGAAATGCGAGTGTAAACAATGATATTGAGAATGGGATGAACAATGAAGACATGATACTGGCTCGATTGAACGAATTGCGATTATGGCAGGAATCGCAGCGTAAATCATTGGTTGAAAATCAATTGGATCAACAAAAAATGTTAGAATTGGAAAAACAAAAATTGTACGCTCTGTTCGGGCTGAATGCTGACGAATCCAGTTTACAAGACGCTGGTGCCTATTCAGCCGAATCGAGTTTTGGCGTTCAACACAATCAACAACAACAGCAACAACCGAGAGTGATGAATAACATTTATGAAACACCAAAAACACATCTCAACGATTCCAATCCTTCGATAGAACAAAAACCACTGGAACTAAACTCACCCTCAATCAATCAATTGCAAAAAATCATCGAAAATTTGGCAAACCATTCGCCAAGACGCGATGTACACCACCAACACGAAGACAATGCAAACATTCCGAAACGGCCGTATTTAAAACGCGGTGAAGGGTTGAAAAATCGCTTTAAAATTTCTCCAGATGCCTTCCGTTTGGACAATCTGCCAAAATATAAATATGCACGGCGGATGCAAAAACATGCGCAATCGCAACAATTGCGTAAACAACGTCATCAGGAAATCCCAACAAATGATACAATAACATCAACTGCAGGCGTAGGGGTGGCTGAAACGTTCGAAGGACAACAAAACAATGCAAAAGATCATTCTATCCACAATCGGAGTCAAAGTGAAAATAACCGAAAAACAGTGAGAGAAACAACAAAACGACCCAGCCCACAAACGTTGCAATTGAAATTGAAACCAAACGCGACGGCAAACAAAGTGAAACCATTGTCATCGTCGAATGAGGTTCTGCATCAGTACAATCAAGGTAAATGGATGTTACTGCGATTTAAAGTTGACGCAATACGTGTTTTTAAGTAGGCTATGTTGACACACTGAGTTATAACATTTAAATTTTTATTGTCATTCGCTAGATGTTGCGCGGAGTGTAGAGCAAGCAATTGTACCGAGAATTAAACGACCAAGTTTATTGTCACCGGCCACAAAAATCTTATTGGACACACCAACCAGGGAGCGAGTACAGTTCCAGCAGGACGAGATAAACGAACTAAAGCATTTTGTGCAATTGGAACAGGATTTTGATAAAAATCAAAGTGCGTTAGAAATGGACCGAGGAAGACGTGACGATAATGTGGTGCTAAAGTTCAAAGTGGGCCTCAATTTATCGCCAAAAAATTACATGAGCCATCGAAATTTCGGTGACATTGAAGAAGAAGAAGAGGAGGAGGAAGAAGAGAATTTTCAGCACAGCATTAGTAGTGATAGTAGTATGGGCGACGAATCGAAACATGTCCGTTTCCACTCGAGAGCGTTGACCATCGAAAAGGATGATCGGAGTCAGATGATGGCTGAAAATATTTACGATGTGCCAAGAACATCCAGTCCACATGAAAACTCATCGGATTCATTTAAAAAGTTCAAGGAAAAGTTATTTGATAGACGACTGAAGCAAAAGTTCCAGAATCGATTGAGCGTTGCCAAAGATTTCGAAATATCAGATATGAATTCCAATTGTGACGATGAAGAAGCCACGGCACATCATTTGAACGAAACGGACGATGCCGAGGTAAAGAGTAAGCTGCAAGAGCGTATGCAGAGTTTGGAACGAGAGATTCATTCGTTCCGCCAACAAAATAACGAGCTTACCAAATTGATCCGTGAATATGACATAATTCGATTGAATTACGACGCAGAGCATCGAGCCGCACAAGAGCGCATGGAAAATGAACGCATCAACTTTGAAATGTACATGCATGATCAACGGTTGAAAATGTTGGACGAAAAATCCAAATGGGAGAAAAAGATGAAAGAAGGTCGCGCAATAACACAAAGTGAAAAGGATGAGCTGGTGCGTTTGCGAGAGAAGTGTGCCAATCATGAAGCGGAGCTCAGTGCTCGGGAACAGAAACATGTCAGTGCACAGGGCCGAATACGGGCACAGTTACGGAACGTCGAAAAGGATTTGAAAGAAACGCGAATCGAATTGGAAAGCCTGCAACGGGAGAATAAGAAATTGGAAGCGGAGAATATGCGATTGAGACGTCAGAGCAATAGCAAAATTTTAACAGAAATCAACAAAAGTATTTCGAAACTGTCCCATTCGAATGAGCATGACAACCAGCGGGAGAACGAAAAAGATGGTGTGAACGAGAAGACATTGCGACGTGGTGTGAAAAAGTGCTCCAATATGAATGCCCACAAAACCGTTGTGGCCAAAGTGACATGTCATCGTGAATCGTCGAAAGGGAATCGTGAACGTTCAAACAGTGTGCCAAATTTGCGAAGTGAAAGCACGGAAAAAATTGCATACGAACTTTGTTCCAGTTCGAACGTTTCGGAAGGTGAAAATAGTGAGAGTTCATCGCACGAGGATAAATCCAACTATTTCGCCAATTCAGTCCAAAAAGACCGATTCAGCAGCGCCGATGAGGAGGAATACAACAAACACAAGTCAAATCAATGCGATGAATCAGACAATATTAGCACTGGAATGAAACGCGTCATTGAAAATCCCGATGGCAGCAAAGATGTGTGGTATCAAAATGGTAATTTGAAGAAAATCTCAGCCGACGGAATGTGCATTCGCATGCTGTACTTCAACAAAGACATCAAAGAAACCGACATCAAAGAAGGAATTGTCAAGTATTATTATGCCGAAACAAACACCTGGCAAACCACTTACTTGGATGGATTGGAAATTTTTGAATATCCTGAGTGAGTACAAATGCATGCATTCGTCTCTTCTTTTTTCACTACACGCAATTTTATAATTCACTAGTGCAATGTATACGCAGATATTAGATAGCATAGTGATGAATTGTGTGTAAGGAATAATCCTTGTCTTGGGGAGCATAATGTCTCGAGGAACGTATAGTGAGAGCATTGCTGCTGACACCCAAATAATTTAAAATAACCCCGCTAAAGAGTATGCTTTGGCGGAATTTTTGCAAAGCTCTTTTACTTTACAAAGAGCTATTGCACAAATTGATTTTGCCAATGAATACCGAATGACGAAATGTGCAGAAAATTTGAACTTAGAATTAATGATAATGAAACAGCTGCTTTGTTTTAGATTGTATAGAAATGATTTCCGTTTCTCTTTCTTTTTTTCAGTGGTCAAACTGAGCATCGTTACAAAGATGGCAAAGTGGAAATATATTTCCCAAATGGGACGGTACGTATATGCAATCCAGCTAGAGAGCAACAGGAAGGAATTAAAGAAGAATGGAAATATCCCGATGGATCGAATGCAATTCAAATGACCAATGGTGAACGTATGCTATTACTACCGAATGGGCAGCGGGAAATCCATGCAAATGGTCACAAACGACGTGAATATCCCGATGGAACAGTGAAAATTGTTTATCCAGACGGTAGCCAGGAGACAAGATACTCAAACGGTAGGGTTCGGTTGAAGAATAAAGACGGTAAACTTATCATGGACTCGGAAACCATTTCCATTTAAAATAACACATTATCATTAGCTCAACTACATTGTCAAAACCTATTTAGAATTAAATGTCACAATAGCATCCATTCATCGTTACATTTACAAAGATATCCCACATACATACACATACACACTCAACGTTGACTTTGATGTGGACTTATTCTGATTGAGAATCAAAAAATTGGTGTAAAACTCTTGTGAACTCACAAATAAAAATAACGAACGGATTTTAAAATTGTATACGGTTTTGTTTTATTCTATTTAATTTACAAACAATATTTGATTTTATTTTTAATTAACATTTTTTTTTAGTTCAGTTGGCAATTTGTCTCGTTTTCTCGTTGCTGCCAAACAGATGCTCGGGTGCGATTGTGTAGTCGAATGGTCGCAAATTGAATGAACCGAAAATTTTCGAAAGAGCATCAATGGAAGCAGTTTCAATGCCATTGTCGTATGTATCGCCGAAACCGGTGCCGAGTAGTTTTTTGGTATCACCATCGTAGATGCCGATTCGACAGCACGCCAGAATATAATTTTTGCTAAGATCACCAATGATTCGTGGTTCAATGTTTTTAATATTCTTATGGGCACAAACTTGTTTCAGTACTTCGAATGGATTTTCAATTTTCCACACTTCATTGATATCGACTTGATTCAATTGTGTGCAAATAAAATCTCGTACAAAATTGTATGGTCGTTGAAGATTGCCATCTTTTTGTGATTCCTCCAACGCACCGACAATGGCCAACATTGTTTGTGCCAACGATTCAACGGATGGTGGGTATTCGGCAGCCAAAATTATTTCTTTTGATCCCAAATTTTGCGAAACATGTGCCAATTTCTCGGTCGAAAGTAGATAATTTTGAATGGCATCAATTCCCTCATCTGGATACTGTGGCAAATGATAACGCAAATAGGTTTCAACGTAACGTTTTGCCAATTTTAAACCTTTGTCAGCTAATTCACGATTATCTTGCAAATTCAAATCATCTTTTTCAATACCGAGTTTTTCGAGACGTAGCTCCTCTTGAACTACATACGATCGTTGCACGAATGCTCGTTCCAAGAGCACCAAGTCGAAATTCTCATTCAATCGCTTGCCAAATGCATAGATTTCCGCGTTGAAGTTCCAGTCAATAAATCCCGATCGCTTATGTACTTGCGGCAATTTATCGGCATATTTGATTTTGCGCTTGTTTAACTCTCGAATGGTTGGTGCTACCCATCGTTTGATTGACCGCGTTGATGTGCCACTAATTGCTGAAACAATAGAAAATTATTTGGTCGCTGATGATTTTGAGGTTATGATTGATAAAAACAAATGAAAAAAGATATCGTACCTTCTGGTACCGCTAATAAATTGAATGAATGGCATTTTGTGGACGCTCTCACTGTCTTCCAAAGTAACCGTGACATGTTTTTTTTTCGCAATCAAACTCGAATTTTTACAATAATTCAAACGATGCTCAATCCCGAACATAAGCACAAGGGCTCGGCGAGACTGAAGAATGTGTGTGACTGAACGTCAAACCATTTGACAAATGTGTCAAAATTCGCCGTCAACATTCGGAACATTTCATGATTTTATTTGAGTAAACAATAGCGTGAGATATTTCAAAAAGATAAAAAAACGTTTTTTTTTCTTTAAATACATATGTTTATTCTTTTTTATCAAAGAGATTATGGTTTTTTTTACAGATTCATTAAATTTCAGCAATAAGAAAAAAATTTATACTGTCTAAATCAGTTCTATAGTCAAAATTTGTTTTTTTCTTTTGTTTTCATGTTTATAACAACGATAATAATTATTTTATAAGATACAAGAATACTTTTAAATTTTGGAAATTTCGAAAAATCTTTGAACGAACGCTGTTTTTTAAAAACAAATTTTGGTCAAATCGAAAACACATTTAGAAATGGTCACACAATGTTTTTAAGAGAAAAAAAAATTGGAAAAGAAACTCGTGTTAAGAAATTCATTATAAATATATTATCATCATATTTAGAACGACAGTAAAAATTCGATTTTGTTGTCGCTTTTTCATGTTTTTCTTTTCTAAGTTGAGATCATAACGTTGAAATCTACATAATTCAAATGAGGAAAGTCTTTTGATATTTGTTTTGCTAAGCAAATGTAACATCAACACTATTTACTGAAGTTTTTTTTTTGTTTAAAAAAAATCGTCTCATTCAATCGAAACTGGCTGAAGACTGAATATACCACAATTATACCTTAGATTAAACCCATTCGCAATTTTTATATACTGTTACGATTACTAAATGCAAGCCAATGCGAACAAAACTGTTCGTTTTCGATTAAATGCTATACTTATACGGATTGAGGGTATACACTGTTATATGATACAAACTGAATAAAACGAAGATATCGAAGAAGGGAAACAAATGTAAAATTGAAAGACCACATTGAGGTGTCACAAATCGTAGGGCACATTATCGTTTTTACAGTGTGATTCGTTTGTAACAATTAAATCGAGTACATTATTTTCCGATGATACGAAATTTCGTGCGATATTATTATTATTTGTTGTGTAGGAAGTTGTGTTTGTGTTACTGGTGGCAACTGATGCGGCAGCCGCCGAAAATCCCGTGCTATTACCAAAACACTTTATTGCTGAGCAAAGTAATGTACACCAACGCCATGAATGCGATGATCGTGTACGTTTTGGCATCAAATTTGAACGCTGATTTAAGATTATCATGGAGCTCTTGTGATTTTGCCGATTTGAATTGGTTCGAACGTTATTATTGTGAGCATTCAAGTTGATGTCCACATCATCATCATCATCATCATCATCATCGTCATCATCATCAATGTAGTTATTAGAATTTCCATTGTCGTAGTTCTGATCAATCGTTACCGCTGGCGTGATGATCAGATAGTTGTATTTACCGTTACAATAAATATTCGATACAGTCGTTGACTTATTCATTCGTGATGCTTTCGCTATTGATCCATTCCCTAATGTGTGTACAACGGTATTTTGAGTCGCAGTCGTTGTTATCGAATGTACAGTCCATCATCTAGTGGAATCTTCGTTCCCACTGGAAGTGTCCTCGGGCTTTACAATTTGATACGTTACCAAGTATTCGGGATAGGCTTGTTCACCACGATAGACGACATACTCGGGAAAATGCAATCCACCAGCTGATGGTCGACCTATGACAAAGTTTATTATGTTCGTTACTTGCATCAACTACGAAAATATCCGATTCTAAATGGTAAAATTGATGTTTTTGGCTTACCTATTACACTGTGATGACCAGGTGGAGAATGTGCCATTTTCATTGCACTAAATTGCAGGAAAGATTTTCCCAAAGCCACACGGCACAACAACAATTGCCTGTTGATCATAACGAAATGATTATCCTTGTTCAAATTCTAGTTAAGAAAAAAAATGAATAAATACCTAGGGCAGAAGTAGCAGGATTTGTCTTTGTGTGATGGGCATCCGATTCCACCTCCCATTCCATACACATATTGATTACTTTTTGAACTGTGCTCAGCAAAATAAATACCGGCTCCGAACATCCCACCAATATAAGCGTGTCGTTCATCAAAACCTTTTTGAACAATTGCATTTATGAATGGACTGCCGTGGAATAGCATCCGTTCACAAGCTTGTCCACTGTTTTCATCCGAAATTTCCTGTCTGCGATGCACATAGCGTTCCCACAGTCGACGATTTTGAACCTTCTGGATCTGCAATTGAAGTTAGCATATTAGTTTTGGGTCGGACTTTCTCTGTCACTAGCCACTTACTCTGATAATATTGTATCGATTGAAGTAACCACCCGATTGGCCATTATCACGATGTTCTCGTATGGTTGCTTGCATTTCTTCTTCGACAGCTAGGAATTCTTTGTCATCAGGAAGCAAATCAACTAAAAGTGTACATGGATTCGGTGCTTGACCTAAACCTAACGAAAATAAAAACATATTAGAATCATTCACACATTGATTATTATTGAAGCCGAACCGATACCTGTTGAAGCTCGAATGGTGGCTATTCCCTTCAGAATTTTATGGCGAAAACCATATGCTGATACTCCAACTTGTTTCAAATCTTCATGACCCATCTCGGCGAGAATTTCCATCGTGATTTGCTCACGATCAAACAATTCAATTAATTGTTCCAATTGTAAGCTAAAACAGAAACACATGACATGTGTTAATATGATACTCAAGCCGGAATACAAATTAGTGTCTGTGAAATTGTACCTGATCAAAAAGCTAGCAACACTAGACTCAGCATCAGATTCATTCGCTTCGCTGCTGATGCCATCTCCATGTGATTCGGCTCCTTGAGGTGGGCTCATGCATGAGCGACTAGGCGTTTGGGGCACTGGTACCGTTAGAGTCATCGATGCACCAGTTGGCAGAGTTACGGTTTCCGTTTCAGTCGTCGGTGAAACCAAAATCGATTGATTCTGGTTCGATGAATTCAAACACAAAATGCCACCTGTTGAGGTCACACTTTGCGTCATTGCGTCCTGTAACAAGCACTTTACATCTTCAGCTGATGCCAATTCGATTGGCGTTTGGTTTTCTTGGTTTTTCATAAATGAATCGGCACCATGTGCCAGTAGCAGCGAACATAATTGAGTTCGACCCTTTTGAGCGGCTGCAATCGAAACATTCACAATTCAATTAGAGTTGAACGGAAGCAGTTTAATTAAATTGATTATTGTACCTTCATGCAATGGAGTAAAACCCCATTTATCTGTTGCATTGACGACTGTGTTGTGCTTTAGCAGCAAAGCTGCAATATCCAAGTGTCCATATGACGATGCATTGTGCAATGGTATTAAACCTCCTTTGTCTTGAGCATTTACATCGGCTCCGCTTTCCAGTAGGAATTCCGCCACTTCGAAATTATTGTAACCAGCTGTAGAAACACAGCAAAATGTAATGATTTTAATTTTTGAAATTATTTTGCAGAAAAAAATACTTTTAACTATTCAAAGTTCGATGAAAAATACCTGCTAAATGAAGTAATGTTGAATTTCGTCCCTGTGAATCACGGCAATTGATATTTTCTGGTGTGACCAAGCGTTGAACACGTGCCAAATTGCCTTTCTTAGCAGCATCAAGAAGAGCTGCTTTGCCCAGAAGCAAATCGGCAACATCGTCATCGCCCTCACGAATTAAATCCAAAGGAGCCGCTCCGTCACGATTTTTCTTAGATGAATTCAAACATAACATTAATTTGAAAGTTTTGTAAGTATTACATATATGCATAAAAATGTTGAATCATATATATGCAAGATATTAAAATTACCTTCGTCGGATCGGCTCCGTGCTTGAGCAGAAGTTTCACAATTTCATATTTTCCCTTCGCAGCGGCTGTAAATGTAAATCCTTGTTTAGAATACAATTTCTTCTTCAATCTCTGTATCAATTGTCTTATAAATAGTTTTACCTTCGTGCAACGGCGTGAATTTCCACAGATCGGCAATATTTACATTTGCGCCATACTTGATGAGCAATTCAGTGACTTCATAATGGCCATATGAGCATGCATTGTGGATTGGCACTAAACCACCTCTATCGGATGCATGCACTTCGGCTCCATTTTCCAATAAGAATTCAACGATTGCGATACGATTATAGCCACTGGCAAAGTGCAGTGGCGTCGAGTGTCGTCCATCTAAATCACGGCAATTGACTGTGTGCGAATTACTGAGAACGATTCGTTGCACTGTATCCAAATCACCCGTTTTAGATGCTTCCAATAATTGCACTTCCAAGTCCACCGTGTCGGGTGGATTTTTCAATATTTTTAAAACACTTTCTGAAGCCAATTGTGCGGCAGTGTATCCCTGAAGTGAAATGATAGCCGGATCAATGTTGTACGAGAGCAGAAGACGGCACGCTTGATCGTTATCATCGCGTGCACAACGATGCAACGCCGTCTGTCCGAGCTCATCCAGTGCATTCACATCGGCGCCACTCTTCAGTAGCAAATCCATAATTTCAAAGTATGAATGATCCGCGGCCATGTGTAACGGTGTTAAAAAGTCTTTATTTTTTTCATTGAGCAATGCTCCTTTTCGAATGAGCGTTTCCACGACTTGTTTTCGCTTTGGATATACTGAGACTACGGCACAATGTAGAGGCGTATCAGCTGTGTACGGATGAACAAAATTCACTGTATCTGTCGTTAGGATTTTCTTGAGCCGTGGAATATCGGCTTGTCTGCATGCGTCCAATACACAGTGACCTTTGTATTCGTCTGTACGTGGAAACGGGAAAGAAAAACAGAATTAGGTTGTGTTATAATTGCCAGTTTGACCATGAGATTTTAAAGGGGAAATTTCCCGAAACACTTACATGCAATACGATCCTGCAGTTCTCTGGTTGGTGCAGAATCAATTGCCGTTTTGTTATGACAGTTTAGTAGCGTTGGATCAGCCTTTTCACTCAATAGAAGACTACACACTTCGATTCGACTCTTTGAGGCGGCCTCATGAATCGGTGTGAATGCCCATAAATCTTTTGCATTAACATTGGCTCCATGTTTGATAAGCAGTTCAGTTACTTCACAGATAAAATGAATGGAGAATGAAAGAGAGTTGAATGTAAACATTAATTTGAAAGTTTTGTAAGTATTATATGCATAAAAATGTTGAATCATATATATATATGCAAGATATTAAAAATTACCTTCAAAATGTCCGTACGAACATGCGTTATGAAGTGGAACCAAACCTCCCTTGTCTTTTGCATGAACATCAGATCCGTTTTGTAATAAAATTTGAACGATATTTATCCGATTATAGCCCGCTGCAAGGTGCAATGGCGTTGAACGACGACCATCGCTTGCGTGACAGTTAACATTCAACGGTGTCAAAAGCGCCAGCAAACGGTCTTCGGCGCCTGAACGTGCGGCCTCCAACAGTTCGTCTTTGCGATATTCGCCCGTTAAAACGGGCCTCGTATTATCGTCGGCTAAATCTAACGGCGTTTTTTGTTCCGAGTTTCGAATGTTCGGATTGGCACCATGTTGTAACAAAGCTATTGAATGAAAACCAAACGAAAAGAAAAGAGCAAAAAAACAACAACAGAGAAATACATATAATTGTGTAAAATTCAAAATGGAAATTGCATTGAACAAAATAAACGACGAGCTGTTTGCAAATTGATTTTTGCAATTGTATTGCCCGTCTGACTGCCTGCCTGCCTCCTTGCCTCTGCCTTACCAATACAAACGTCGATTTTCCCCTTTTGTGATGCTTCGTGTAACGGCGTATAGTTCCAGTTGTCGGTTGTGTTTGGCGATGCGCCAGCTTCAAGCAGCAGTCGAACTACGTCGGCATGCCCAAATGAGCATGCATTGTGTAACGGATGTAAGCCGCCTTCATCACAAGCTTGAATCGAGGCACCATTTGCCAGAAGCAATTCAACCACTTCGCGACGCCCGTACCCTATTCAACGTAAAAAAAGAAACGAGAGGAAAAAATCAACATTACATAATAAAAACCACTGACTCAGATCAATTTCAATGTCTTGCAAATGAGTTCATTTCGCTTACAGCGACACCAATTAAACTTGCACAAATTATTCAATGCAGTTTTTCTGTTCGCTTCAATCTGTGTGTCACTTTTTGCTGTTCGTTGCACACAAAAAAAATGAATGAATGAATGACCCAAAATTTTGCGTTTGAGTTAATGTCGATGTCAGCACAATATTGTGTTATGATTAAATATCTGCACGCTAAATACCTTTACCGTGTTGATTCGCGCAATTTGTACTAATTGCACCAATTAAATTGTAAACAAATCGACTGGCTGAACGTTGTTGAACACCAAGGAAACCAAGAAAAAAGTCGATGGTACTGTGTTTATGTTTGCAATAGATTTACATAAGTTTGGTGTGCAAATAGTAGCCGTATGTGGCCATGCCATAAATAACAACAACACACAAACACATCAACAATGTGGAAAACGCCAATGAAGTACTCAACAAAAATGCCAATGTTTTTTTTTTGCTGCTACTGCTGCTGCGCTTTACTCTCTATCTCACTACGTATTCGGAATGACTTAGTTTTAAATAATGCAAAACCAGTGGTTATGAATTATTCACCTGCAGTCATACGCGACGAACATTATGGACAGACCAAGTCGACTTGGATATTGTTTACACGGATTTTGTCGACTTGTTTACACTCACAGTCGAACGCGGTGTATATGCGAACGGTTATGTGTGGTTGAATAGAGCTATGAAGCAGTTTCACGTCATTCCGAAGGTCAATAAAAATGCCAACACTATTTTATTCTCTGTCTGTTTCTCCCTCTCTCTCTCTTTCGCTCCGTTTCTCGGTTGCTCTATTCTTTCGCAAGAATCAGTTTTTTTTGTCTGCACACAGTGAAATCTAATTTCGGTGGCGAACAAAGGGAAAAGCATCGCAAATTCCAATTATAAAATCAGTCGACATGGTTTGTCAAACAGAATGAGGGTCAAATTCGTGCTGCTTTTTCACACAATTGTCACAAAACCGACGACTACGGTAAAGAAAGAGCAATGGAGCGCATACCATGGCAAACAGCAAGCAAAAGACATATAAATCACCCAAGTGAATAATGAATTTTAACCACTTTCATATGCTCAAGCGCCAAGCTTCATTGCAGTATAGCTACTCACATCACAAAGCGGTACGCTTCATTGTTTTCGGATTTATTTGTTTTTTGTTTTCTTCTCTTTCGCGAAGTTTGTCTTTTTTTTTATTATTATTAGATAAAACATGTAGCATTTTTCAGGCAATTTTATTGTTTTCTCGCTGTGTGTGTGTGTGTCTCTCTCTCATCTGTGGTTTATCTCTGCAATTGTAATCCGTAGTCAAATTCATTGGCAACGACAGAGTAAGTGTTATGATGAAACAGAAAAATTAGAATGCAACACATGCATTTAATATGTACGGCCATTTACTAAATATGTCAAGCGCGCTTAGACAAAATAAAACACGGTGAAATGTGTACTGCAGCATGGGTTTGACCCATTAATCCACATTGGTGACGCACCGTGTTGCGAATATTTTATTCGATTGAAATGCGCTTTTTTTTGCCTGAATGAATGAGAAGCATGTTTTTTTTTCTGCCAAATTTAGCATTTTTATTACAAATCAATTCAATCCAACTCTCACACTTTCTTTTGAAACGCTTTTGTTTTTGTATTGACACGTAAAGCATAAATATACAATCGGAAATGGGTTTTATTCAATAACAACAACAACAACACATCTCTTGGTCTGCTCATCAGTTAATACATCAACTCGAGAGTGATGAGGAAGCACTTTTGTGACGCTAACGAGTACTACACATTTCTATCCAGGGAAATGCATCACTTGACGACGAGCAAATGGAAAAGAGAGAGCATTAATTGTTGGTGGATTTTTTTTTTGTCACATGTCTAATGAACACTCGATCTTAATACCTTATCCGGTTTGTTTTACATTTAAAAAAAAAAGATGGAAAATTGGTTAAGCGAAGCGAAATTATTGGCATTTTCCGTGTTCATGAATACATACATTTTGCATATATGAATCAAGTGCGATAGATTTACATAGCCAACAATAGACCATCACAACAGAGCTGCTGCGCTTCAATCCATCGGTGTATGTATCAGTGTACAGGGAAAAAAAAACAAATTCTTCACTTTTCTTTTGTCCCTCTTGTTCATTATTTGGTCAATTTATGGTTTAATGTGAAATGCTCGTCGCATGAATTCATTCGTTTAATCGATAATAATAACAACAACAACAACACCAATACAAAATTATACTACGGAATAAAATATGATGTATACAAACCAGCAGCAAAATGAAGTGGAGTTGATTTACGTCCGGCTGTATCTCTTGCGTTCACAGTCTGCGAATTAATCAATTTTTTCACTTTGATCATATCACCCGTTTTGCATGCCTCAAACAATTCACGTAGTGGATCGTTTGCCATCACAACATCCAAATTCACTGACAAAGTTCGACTTCGGCTCGACATTTTCGTTGTTTTTGTATCAACTGGTCTCGTTTGTTTTGTTTTTTTTTTTTTGGTTTTTCTAAATATTTATTATTAAAATCAATAAATTCCGTAAATTTCGACACCCAAAAAAGCCCTTTCAAAACCAATTAACTGAATGTGCTGCTCAATGCACTTTGATTCGATAGTATTTTTGTATGAAGGCATTATTGACTAGTTCACAACAATTTACAGCAACAACAACAGAAACGATATCAAGATGATAACAATGAGTAAGTGGATTGTTTTCAATTGTTTGTTCACTATTCGACGAAATTGACGACGCCTCACAACAAGGCTTCGCCTTTCTGTCACCACTCTTCTTTTTTCCTGTGTTGTTCACTTCATTCACATCGCTTGACAAAACACAGTCGCATCAAATGTGTCTCACTTTACCATATTTCTTTCATAATTTTTTATTCACTGAACAAACCATAATTTTACATAATATTTTAGATTATAGTATTATTTTCTTCACGTCATTTTCACTTCTCTTTCCAGCCATTGCTTTGTTTTAGCAATTTTCCCCTTTCGATGCTGTCGCAACACACTGAACTGAACCACACTCTATTAGATAATTTGCGTGCGAATATCGCATTCGTATGCCAATTTCCGTGACTCAATTCGGATTTCACGGGATTACGATTTTTTTTTGGCGATTTTTCTGATTTCTTTCAAATTGTTGGCTGTGCCGTGTGACTATTTTCTTTGTAAATTTGTTCACCCAAACAGCTGCTACTAATTTTATGCTCCCCCGTACATCAATGTCTCCGACCAAGAGCGAACAACAAATAAACGATGTGTTGATATTTATATTTTTGGTCTCTGTGTTCATGTATCACACAGTCCATGCATGTTGTATTTGTCGTATCACTGGTCAGTGTATTCAATTCGCTCAACGTCAGCGAATTGCTACATGAATTCACGGCGATTCTGTTTGTCTACGCACGGCAAATTCGTTCAAATGACACTCTCGATTGAAGTGTGTAAATTGTTGCAAGAATTATTGATAATTTTGTGGATTTTAATGGAAAACGGCATGATTTCAAGAGCAAAAAAGGAGTTCTTATCTATAATTGAATCATTCAATGAATGCAAAACTAAAAACTAAATTACTTTTCTCTCAAAATCGATGGAAGACACAATGTAAATAGTGTTAGATTTTGTCAAAAGTCTTCTTCTCTTTAAATGTGTCACTTTCTTCAACGTGCGAAAAAAAGTTTCATCAGTAAGCTGTCCTTTCAGATGCTCTGGTTAGTTTAAATATCTAAATTTTTTCAGAACAATAACAAAAATAATTCAAAAACAGAGCGACGCGAAAAAACAATTTGAATTAAAAAAGTAGTAGTAGTTGTCTCCATCACAGTCTGGAACATACTAGAATGTGGTCGGGATTTTGAATTCGCCGTCTCGTCACGGCATCGTGGCATATTACTAGTCTACGTGTGCACTATACTGTAGCATGGTTGGCTCAGTATTTTAATAAAATAACATCGTCTCGTCGACCGTCTGTCATTTAATCGGCATCAGTCGTACACGGAACGCAGTTGTGTTTTGTCCAAAAACTCGCAGGTATTTATTAGTTGATATTTACAAAGTTCAAACCGTTTCCAAGAGAAAGTGCATTGATTTTTATCAAATTTGTAATAAAAAGTGCAACAGTAATTAACAATTAATCGTAAAATGTTCGATTTGATCGTCGATTAGCACTGGATCTGGTGTAGAAAGTGTGTCGCACGTATTGAGAGTTGCCCATTTTTAATGTGTTTGTGTGTATCTTCTTTCTTCTTTCTTTGCAGCATTGCCATTGAGCTTTATTTCAATCGAAGTAAATCTCGCATTTAATTTTTTGCTTTGGAATTTGCCGAAATTGTTGTGAAACCTCACACACACACACACAAAAAAAACCCTCTGAAAGAATGGCACCAAAACAACGTATGCGTGTAGCCAACGAAAAGGCCAGCAAAAACATCACTCTTCGAGGAAATGTACCAAAATCAACGGTAAGTTAAATGATTGCATTGATTGGGTTAATGATCTCTCTGTGGAAAAAAAATTGTTTTAAAATCAAAGTTCATGTGTGATATGGAGGAATGATGCATTAGTTTTTGCGTACTGATACAGTTTCGAAGTTCGACGAATGCTTGCGTGTCAACTTTCCCTTGAGGTGATTAGTGAAAATAATCAGTGGAAGTGTGAGACTGTGTGCGCGTGTGTGTGTGTGTATGTGTGTTTTTATATATTGCCGCATATGCGATTTCATGTCTGCGATTGTTATTGAATGTGTTCCATATCGAATTTGTTCCGATTTTTATCACTTCACTACAAGCAGATTGCATTACGTTTGCTGCATATCATCCACTAACCTATTCACCAAAACTTGAATTTCGTTGAAATAAGACACTTTCGAATGAATAATTTTAGCCAAATTCAATGGTGAGGTGTAGGCAAGATGTTATCGATCATTTATTGCGTCGTTTAATAATACACTTCTGCATTCATGCCAACCTGTTTTGTTCTCCATCCGAAAGAAACATACGCAAGCTATTTTTGCGTAGTTCAATTGGGAAATTTTCACGGCCTTTGTCAGCAGAAACAAGTGTTTCTGTTTGTTCATCGCAAATTTTATTTACATTTTTTTATCCGTATGACGAACAAAATATTGTTATTTTTCATACTGAATCTGGAACAATTAAACAAAATACAGAAATAAAATCGAGAATCAATGGATGAATCTCAGACGCCATGCCCAATTACGAACTACCTAAGCATATGCAAGCTACTTTCGTTCATGAACTCGTTTTTTTTTCAAATCTGAACTAATTACCCAAAATGTTTGTCCATTAACTAATGACCCATTTTTTTTCTTCTCGTTAATTTACAGAAAGCCAAAGAAGATCAGTACCCAGTTGGACCATGGTTGTTGGCACTCTTCTTGTTCGTTGTCTGCGGATCCGCTATATTCCAAATAATCCAATCCATTCGCATCGCGTAATTGCAATCCAACTAAATTGATCACCACACTATATATTCAATGTAAAGATATTAATAAATATGTAAAAAAAAAACACGAAACACAAGAAAAATATGCATCCAGATTTACAATTTTATATTTATGTAATTGAAGTGAAACAAACACTATGATTGTCAATGAGGGTGAAATAAGCAAACATACACAATTTCAAACCTTTTTTTGAGGGATTCATAATTTTGTATCATCAAAATTCCTCATTTTGATTTCATTTTTTATACCGGCAATAGGATATGCACAAAAAAAACAAGGTCAATAGCACTTTGTTAATGTAAAAACAATTCCTAACATTAATAACTGAAGAAAGTATTTTTTTTTGTATTTTTCTTGTTCATTTCAAATGAAACAATCGGTTAGTTAAATTGTGTGTTTGCAAAAGAGAAAAAAATATATATGTATTGCAATTACAATGTGCAGTTTATATACATTCGACTACTTTATCTAGAGTTCTTTGTCTAGATAAAGATATTCCAAGCAAAAATTAAATAAAATTTAAAAAAAACTCAACATATGTCTTCTCTTTCTTTTATCTAAACCAAGTAGATTTTCATTTTTCAATTTAAATTTTCATTCATTTAATTAGCGTCCGCTGAAAGAATATACGTAAGTCAACGATGGTATGAATTATTGGAAATGATTAAATTTTTAGAGTCATAACAGGACTTTTGTGGCATAGAATCATCTGAAATTACCTTTTCCTTACCAGTTGGGTTAGTAGTGATCATCGTGTCTGAAGCAGGTTCCTAGTTCCTTTGAATTTTTACTCGAAATTGAAGACATTTTTTTGGTTGCCATTTTTCGAATTGTCGAAAAATCGCCCATATCGACCAAATTACAAAACAAAATTGTCTCAAAAATGAAATTTCCTCCCTCTGGCCGTCGAATCTTAAGAAACTCTGGTAGTGATTGATACGATTATTCCCTGTGAAACATTTTCAAACGAAAAACATTTTGAAATTTGGATATTTGCAAAAAAAATTGAGTTGGCTATTCAAGAAAAATGAAAGCAAAGTCAGAAATGTACGACAAATTTTTATTTAATTTCTTTTAAATTCTGATTTTCATTACATTCGCTTTGCGCTCTAGCTTTGCCATTCACATAAATTATACATCCCAATCGGTGAAAAATACTGATTTGCTTATCTTTAAGAAAATTTAACTAATGATACATTGACTTATTAAATTACAGTTCGATAGAATAGATAGAGGTTTCTGGCACATTTTCGAATTTGATAACATTTATGTGATCACAATAAAATTCAAATCAATGAACGAAATGGCCATTTAAAGTGACCATACTTCGATCAACGAAACGCCGGTGGAACATCTTCGTCATCATCAAATTGTTCCAAGTCGCTTTCGTCGGTGGTTTTTTTAGCCTTCTTCTCTGTGGAGGCTTTACCACTGGCCGATTTTTTCGCGGTTTGTTTTTTCTTCTTTTCAGCCATCAAAAAACTTTTGCGTTTCTCCGCAGAAACTGGCTTTTGCTTCGTCGACGTTGCAAGTTTGAATACAGTTGTTACCGATGGTTTACCTTTAAGTTTTTTGTTAAACGGAACGATTTCCTTGTCGCTGAACATCTGCTTCAACAGTGTTCGAATCTTATCATCGTGCCTTTTCACGTCCATTTGATTTTCATTCTCCAAAAAGGCAATCACCTCTTTCAGAGAACATCTTCCATGTTTTTTAGCTAACAATTTCACAGCTTCGCGGATCTTCTGACTGATTGTTGCACGCGATGACAGTTTGATATGCAGAGATACTTCATGTGCTGCCGACGAACCTGTTGTGAAAAAGTGATGGAAAATGATTATGATTCGTGTTTACTTGATTTTCATGTTTCAGCAGTTTTTGCTTACCCTCGTCATCATGATCCATTTCAGCGTCACCGTTTTCCTTGGATTTGGCTGCTGCTTTTTTACTTGGCTTATCTGAAATTGAAAAATTGAACATTCAACTTGTTTGCTATGATTTTCATATACACACTCATGTTGAGCAAAAAATTACCTGGTTTTGATGTGGCCGTTTTGGCATTTTTCGTTCTTGGTTTCGGTGGATCATTCTCTTTATCGGCCATTTCCCCTTCTGTTCGCATCTTTTTCTGTGGCGACTCTTCATCCTCTTCTTTTTCATCATCATCAGCTGCTCTAGCGCCTCTTTTCGATTTAATCGGCCGTTTGGACGCTGCCTTAGCTATGGTTCCCTTCTTAGGTGGAACAGCTTTAGCTAGTTGTTCATCATCTGCTTGAAAAAATTGAAACAGAAAAATGGGAAAATGTCGACCAATTAAAATTGAAAAAGCGTATGTTTACCTTGATTGGCTCCCTTCTTGGTCTGTGGAGGCTCTTCTTCCTCGTCTTCTTCATCAGATGAGCCATTAGTAGCTTTTTTCGGTTTAAGCACCTGCTTGGCCGCTGCCTTAGCCGCCGTCCCTTTCTTAGGTGGTGCAGCTTTAGCTGGCGGTTTATCATCTGCTTGAGAAAAACGAAAAAAAAATGGGGAAAATGTTGACCAATTCAAATTGAAAGTGCGTATGTTTACCTTGATTGGCTCCCTTCTTGGTCTGTGGAGGCTCTTCTTCCTCGTCTTCTTCATCAGATGGGGTCTTAGCGCCTCTTTTCGATTTAATCGCCTGTCTGGACGCTACCTTAGCTACGGCTCCCTTCTTAGGTGGAGCAGCTTTAGCTGGCGATTTATCATCTGCTTGAGGAAAACGAAAAAAAATGGGGAAATTGTCGACCAATTCAAATTGAAAGTGCGTATGATTACCTTTATTGGCTCCCTTCTTGGTCTGTGGAGACTCTTCTTCCTCATCTTCTTCATCAAATGAGCCATTGGTAGCTTTTTTCGGTTTAAGCACCTCCTTGGCCGCTGCCTTAGCCGCCGCCCCCTTCTTAGGTGGTGCAGCTTTAGCTGGCGATTTATTATCTGCTTGAGAAAAACGGAACAAAAAATGGGGAAAATGTCGACCAATTCAAATTGAATTTGCACATGGATTACCTTGGTTGGCCTTGTTTCTTGTGTTCTTACGCGGCTCTGGCGGATCAAAAATGCTCTCAACTTTTGCCTCATTGCCTTTTTTCAAAAGGGCAGTATCAGGTTCAGTTTCAGCACCAGACATTGCTAAACAGAAAGAAAAAATGTTAGAAAAAATGCCAAATTTTCATTTGTATTTAGCTAGTATTACTTGTCTCCTTTTCCTGCTCCGGTTCATCTTCTTCACTTGATTCACTGGATAAATTCGGCATATTCCTGCCTTTTTCTGACCCATTTTTTCGACTTTCCGCGTCAGATTCATTTGAATCATTTGCCGCGTGGTTGTCGTCAGCCTCTGAATCATGATCACTTTGCTCTTGTCGGTTTTCATCTTGCTGGTCTCCTTCAACGAAATTCGATTTTTTTTCAGGTTTTTCAGTTTTTTCAGTTTTTTTCAACTTTTTTGCTCCCTTTTTTGGTGGCATTTTGACAAAATTCTTACAAAAAAAAAAATATGAATGCAAACAAACGAATACTAAAACTGAGATAAAAATGAAAAATATTAAGAGAAAAAACGTTTAACACATCCAAACACTTAAAAGGTTAAAATGCAAATGGTGGCGAACTAGAGATGATGTTGCAAATTTGGTGCGTGCCGACAGAGACGGTGAAATGAAATCATGCGATAGTCCAGTTAACTGTTGCATCTATGGCAAACACTTTGCACATTCGTATTTGAATTCAACTACTTGAAAAGCAATACGTAATTCGAGCAGAGTGTGGAAGATTGACGCTGGCAACACTGTTCGCCGATGCCGCTGCGATGAAACGCATGCGTACACAAACACTTTTAATAAATAAACACATTTCGCCGAGATATTAGAACTAATTTTCATTTCTGTTCGTCATTCTCAGAGTGTCAATGATCGGGCAAACACAGAGAGTTTAGCGTTTCTTTTGCTCAAAACGTAATTAAAAGAAGAAAAGAGAAATTTATATTCGTTGCATATAAAGCATACATCACACGAAATTCTACCAAACATTTTTATGTGAACAAGAAAATTTGGACTTGTACATTGTGTTGAGAAGAGAATCAAGTGTGCGAGATTTTTTCCCCGCATCTACATCGTTCTTCTTTCTTTGTCAGAATTGTTTTTTTTTTGTTGTTAGTTTGTAGATGTTCACATTGCATGCTAGTTCGAATGTGCATTGTACCGTAAGCAAACGAAAACATTAAATGGCCCGTGTATAAAACATCTTTCGATGGATTGGTTGGCCAATCGTCGCCAACGCGGTACATTGTGTTTTTGACTTCGATATCAAATGTGAATCGCACTAAATTCGAGTGTGTGTTTTTTTTCTCATTCGGGAGAGAATAAGTGAGTGCGAACGGCGAGAAAAGGGCCCGGCAGAGGGAAGAACTTTGCAAAAGCGAAAAATATTGCGTGAAATAAAAATAAAATGGCACGATTCATTCAGTTTCTGTTATTCATTGAATTCATTTTAATCATACCGAGCCTACAAAGTGCTCGGCATGGTTTCGATGCAGAATTGTTGCATGCAGACAATGAAAAGTTGTCAGCAATGGTGATTGAACCCGAAATGCTCGAGTCATTCGTTCGACGCAGTAGACGAGATGTGAAGTTGAGCCCAAGTGACGCGAGCAATTCACAAACGGCCAAAGATACATCGTCGGCCACATCATCGACGAAAAAGTTGCCAAATACATCACAATCGACCGTAAATGTAAGAAACAATGTAACCATCACCACGACCAATAAAATTACCACAGCAGTAAGTATTTCCAACTCTCTCTCTCTCTCTCTCTCTCTCTCTCTCTCTCTCT